TTTATTTGGTTATTAAATTTTTATAACATGAATCTCGACTTTGATAAGTTAACCTAGTTAATTCTATGTTAACTTATAATTTTTTTTTTCTTATCGAGTTATCAAACTTTCATAACATGAATCCCATATTTGAGGGATTAATCTGATTTGATAGATTAATCTGGTTAATTCAGATTATTCTTTTTTTTTTCTTCATTATTTTTTTTCTTCCTGTAGATTTGTTTTCCTTTGTTTTTTCTTTTAAATTAATCTTTTTTTTATTTGATAGTTTTTTTGGTCTTTTTCTTTCTTTTTAATTTAGTTTGTTATTATTAAATTTTTTCTATTTAGTTATTAAACTTTCATGACACGGATCCTAGGTTTGACGGGTTAATTTAGTTAATTCAATTTTTTTTCTTTTTCTTCATTGTTTTTTTTCTTCTTATAGGTTTTTTTTTTCTTTTTTTTAATTAATCTTTTTTTATTTAATTTAGTTTTTTAATATTAAATATTTTTCTATTTGGTTATCAAACTTTCATGAAACGGATTATGAGTTTGACAGGTTAACCCATATTTATTTTTATGGTGTTTCTTTTTAATTAATTTTTTTATTTAATTAACTTTGTTAATGTTAAATATTTTTTATTTATTTATCAAACTTTCATGACATGAATCTCAGGTTTAACGGGCTAACCAGCTAATTTTAGGTTAACTTATAATTTTTTTCTATTGAGTTATCAAACTTTCATAACACAGATCTCAGGTTTGATGGGTTAAACTGGTATGATGTGTTAATACAGTTAATTCAAATTTTTTTGTTCTCCATTAGTTTCTTTCATCATGTATGTTTGTTTTCCTTTTAAATTAATTATTTTTTTTGTTTGATAGGTTTTTTCTGGCCTTTTTATTTTTAATTAATTTTTTAAATTTAGCTTGTTAAAATTAAATTTTTTTATTTAGTTATCAAACTTTTATGACACGGATATCAGGTTTGACGAGTTAACCAAGTTTGATAGATTAACCTAGTTAATTCAGATTTTTTTTTTGTTTTCTTCATTGTTTTTTTCTTACTGTAGTTTTTTTTTGTTTTTAATTAATTTTTATTTTATTTTTTTTATGCCTTTTATTTAATACTGCATAATGCAATTCACAATGAAAAGGCGGATGCTATTAGTTTTTATTTTTTTTCTTTGTTTTTTTAATGAATATAGGGAGATAATTAACTATAATTAAAACAATTCATTTTATTATATATTACACAATGTATTTCACTGTTAAAAGGCGGATGCTATTTTTTTTTAATAAATTTTTTTATTTAATTTAATTTATTAATGTTAATTTTTTATTTGATTATTAAATTTTTATAATATGGATCTCGACTTTGATAAGTTAATCTAGCTAATTCTATGTTAACCTATAATTTTTTTTTCTTATCGAGTTATTAAACTTTCATAACATAAATCCCATATTTAAAGGATTAATCTGATTTGATAGGTTAATCTGGTTAATTTAGATTATTCTTTTTTTTCTTCATTATTTTTTTTTCTTCCTGTAAATTTGTTTTCCTTTGTTTTTTCTTTTAAATTAATTTTTTTTATTTAATAGTTTTTTTGGCCTTTTTCTTTCTTTTTTATTTAGTTTGTTATTATTAAATTTTTTTCTATTTAGTTATTAAACTTTCATGACACGAATCCTAGGTTTGACGGGTTAATTTAGTTAATTCAATTTTTTTTTTCTTTTTCTTCATTGTTTTTTTTCTTCTTATAGGTTTTTTTTCTTTTTTTAATTAATCTTTTTTTATTTAATTTAGTTTTTTAATATTAAATATTTTTCTATTTAGTTATTAAACTTTCATGACACGAATCCTAGGTTTGACGGGTTAATTTAGTTAATTCAATTTTTTTTCTTTTTCTTCATTGTTTTTTTTCTTCTTATAGGTTTTTTTTCTTTTTTTAATTAATCTTTTTTTATTTAATTTAGTTTTTTAATATTAAATATTTTTCTATTTGGTTATCAAACTTTCATGAAACGGATTATGAGTTTGACAGGTTAACCCATATTTATTTTTATGGTGTTTCTTTTTAATTAATTTTTTTATTTAATTAACTTTGTTAATGTTAAATATTTTTTATTTATTTATCAAACTTTCATGACATGAATCTCAGGTTTAACGGGCTAACCAGCTAATTTTAGGTTAACTTATAATTTTTTTCTATTGAGTTATCAAACTTTCATAACACAGATCTCGGGTTTGATGGGTTAGACTGGTATGATGTGTTCATACAGTTAATTCAGATTTTTTTGTTCTCCATTAGTTTCTTTCGTCATGTATGTTTGTTTTCCTTTTAAATTAATCATTTTTTTTTGTTTGACAGGTTTTTTCCGGCCTTTTTATTTTTAATTAATTTTTTAAATTTAGCTTGTTAAAATTAAATTTTTTTATTTAGTTATCAAACTTTTATGACACGAATATCAGGTTTGACGAGTTAACCAAATTTGATGGATTAACCTAGTTAATTCAGATTTTTCTTTTTGTTTTCTTCAATTTTTTTTTCTTACTGTATTTTTTTTTGTTTTTTTATTTTTAATTAATTTTTTTTATTTTTGTTTTTTATGCCTTTTGTTGTATACTGCATAATGCAGTTCACAGTGAAAAGGTGGATGCTATTAGTTTTTATTTTTTCTTTATTTTTTTAATGAATATTTTTATTTATTTATTTAGTTTGTTAATGTTAATTTTTTTTTATTTGGTTATCAAAATTTCGTTACACGAATTTTGGGTTTGACTAGTTAACCTAAATGTTTTTTCAATTTTAAAAACTTTTCATGGTTAAAAAAATAGCAATATAAAAATAAAGATAAAGTATAATATGTAAATATAATGAATAAGGGTAAAATTATAAAAAGAATATCAATTCTAAAATAAAATAAAATATAATATAGTTAAACGAACAAGGCCACATCCAAAATAAAAAAATTAATAGAGGATAAAATAAAAAAAATCTAATTCATTAAACTAATTCAAATTAAAAAAATAACCATTAAAAATATATAGATCAAATTCTATTGGATAAAAATTAAAGAGCTTTTATGAAATATTCAAGAGCAAGCTTGAATAAGAAAATAAGAGGGGGAAAATACAAAAGATTGCTGGTTTTTCATTTCTATCAGCTACCACATGCGCCACCCAAAGACAGAAGGGTGACTCTTGGCACGCCATCAATTTTTTTTTTATTATTAAAAAATAATAATGTGAAATCACGAATACACCCCTGAAGCCAAGACTAAGTTTTTTTTTTTTTTTTAATTCCAAAGGTACTAGAGTAATTAAAATGTCAATTGTTAAATGGGGTTCTGCTAATGCAGTGTAGACTTTACAGTGAACAGAGGCACTGAACAAAATTATAAATAAAGCTTTTTAAAATATTTAAAAAATATTGTTTACTATCTTTTATATATGTCCGACAAGTGGGGTTTTCAGTTGCTTTTATTTTATACTTTAAGCCTTTTATTAAGTGTGAGGGTAATTTTCATTCTACAAAATATAATAATAATAATAATATTTATTCTTAAAAAAAGAGAGTTCTTGGATCATTATCAAAGTAACTCTTAATTAAACCGGCCTGTATCATTAGACAATGCAAATATCTTATTCTAATGTTTTTACCTTTATTGTCTTTGCCTTCGGTTTTTTGATTTGGATAAGTATTTTAGTGGTTTTATTTGAAAGTATAGTTTCAGTTAATTTTTAAATATTTTTTATTTAAAAATATATTAAAATAATTTTTTTATTTTTTAAAATTATTTTTGATATTAATGCATGAAAATAATATAAAAATATTAAAAAAATATTAATTTAATATAAATAAAAAATAAAAAAATTAATTTTTTAAAAAGTTTTTAAAATACAAAAATGGCTATCAAAGTCAAAGTCCGTCAACGCAAGTGGACGAGGGATTCACGTGGTAATACAACACAAAAATACACACCATTAAATTTTACTACCACTATGCAAATTTAATTGAAAGAATATAACACATCACAAGATTCCACCAAATTAACAAGATTTATTTTTTTTATTATTTGGATATGAAATTTATTTTATATATTTAAAACAAACAAGTCTTTTTTTTTTTAACAGATGGAATTTGAGTACACGAATCGTCACATAATATAAAAAGGATGATTAAACGAGCTTAATTCACGTGGATTAAACTTATTTCAACAGTTATTAAAGTGAATTTGATTCATGTAATGTGATTAATTTGCCCCTCATGAACTAGCTAGATGTCCTAATTTATATTCACCAGAGAAACTGGTGCTTTAGAATCTATTATTTTGGAGTGCAGTAGGTTTTTTTTTTTTTTGCTTTTTAAAAATATATTTGTTTTGGAAAAATATAAAATTGATTTTTTCAGTATTTTATTATGATTTTAATGTGTTATTAAAAAAATAAAAATTATTGAAAAAATTATTTTTAATATATTTTTAAATAAACTACACTTTTAAAATTGATATATATCACAATACCAAATACATATTTAATAAAGTTGAGTTTAAAATTAGATTGTAATGGAATAAACTCAATCATAATTATTGTTTTTAAAATATTTTTTTAATGAAAAATATTTTAATTAAAGAATTATTTTGATTTTTAAAAAAAATTATTTTTTATATCAGCACTTTAAAATAATCCTGCCAATTTTTTAATTTTTTAAATGATTTTATTTTAAAATTCATTTTGAAAAAAAATAAATATTATTTTAAATTTGTTTTTTTATTTAGGAATGTGGTTGTATTTGTTTTTTAAATTTTTTTTTACTTAGAAATATATCAAAATATTTTTTTATTTTAGAAAAATTATTTTGAATATCAATGTATTAAAATAATTTTAAAAAACTAAAAATATTTTAATTTGTCTTAAAAATATTTTTAAAACTAAAAAACAAAAAAGAAATTAAAATGAAATCGATCCACTGAACGACCCAGTCCTTCACTTGGTCATTAGTGAACGACCGAGTCCAAGTGAGCGTTCAATAGCTTCAGCTCTCTCCCTCTCTCGGTTGTTTTTTCGTCCACCTTTCATGTGGTGGAAGTTGTTTCGTTGACTCCGTTTGAAATTTCAACTTGGTAGAAGATTACTGTTCTTCTTCTTCTTTAGTTAAGTGGTGTCTGTTTCTGAAAAATGTGATTATTCTTTCATGACAGTTAAGTTCTTGGACTGGCATAATTTTCTAACAATATAGAACCTGGATGATCAAACAGTCGTCATGGGCTTGAAACTCACCACATCAGTCTCTTTGTGTTTACGGGGTTGAGATGGTTCTTTAAGCGTCATGGATCATTCAAACCGAACAATAGTTTTATACGAATAAAAATCCTTCAGTGTCTCCGCTTTCAACAGTTCAATTCAATATGCATGTATATAGTGCATGTCTTCGTCTGAAGCGCTGTGCATGTAACCGGCTGATTGGATTGTTTATGCAAGAGGGGTTCTCTGTCATTAATTTGAGCTAGAGGGTAGATGGTAAGATTTTTAGCTCTTTGTTGCTTGAGTTGCATGTCTAACACTTTGTTATCGTTAGAAACTGATATTTTGAAGTTTCTTGCTTGATTTGCTATATGCTTTTTTCTTAACAAGGAAATCTGTTTAGTTTCAGCAGTGGCGGCCTTGCAAGGAAATGTTATTTCCAGCTCCTTTTTTGTCAATATTTATAATTCTAATAGTAAAATAACTAAAATTTTAATCTTTTTAAAATAATTCTTTTAGTTTGGCCCCTTTTAATTTTTTGCTCTTGCTCCGCCCTTTCAGGTTCTATGAAATACAAAACCAGTCTTGGTTTCTTATATGGTTGATTACTTTAACTGACTAAGCAAGATTTGAATTGAGTTGGGCTCTCTTTGTTGAGAATTTATAGTTTCCCAACTCCCAAGTTTAATGAATTTAATTAAAAAAAAGAGGGGCTTCAATTGTTTGTTTGCAAAATTGCAGATTGGGGACACTTCTGTGGGATGGGGAAGGATCGTGCTAATGATGTTGTACTCCCTAGCTGCTTTTCTGTCAAGGTAAATTGTAAGACACACACACCCACCCCAATGACTTCGCTCAGGTGACCATGGATCTTTGGCTGCATGTTCTTGTACCAGTATATGTAATTTGTAATTTTAGATGAGATGTTTAACCCAAAAGCATGCCTCAGTAACTCTGGATAACAACTGCAAGCTTTAATTTGGTTGATTTCTTCCACTTTATTCCTATTGTGTTTTGTTCTTTGTTTGTTATAACCATGCGACCATATTAAACATACGCAGGTGCATCGCTCAATGTGCTTAGAACTTAAGAACTTTGTGGACAGAATCTCACAGATATATCCAGCAATAGAGTCTGCTCGGCCTCGATGTACTTCAGGAGTGCAGGCATTATGCTCTCTGGTTGTCAATATAGATAAAGCAAAGCTACTTATCCAGCACTGTGCCAATTCCAGTAAACTCTACCTGGTACTTGCTTTCATTTGTATAATGGAAACTCTTCGTTTGTTTTTTCCAGTGACCATTATACAACTACGTTGCGGCGCCTGTTTAACCTTAGTTGTCTTCATATTGTTTTTCTTTTCCTTTCCCCCGATGGTGACAGGTGTTGTACTAATAATCCAACGCAATTATTTCAGGCAATTACGGCAGAGAGGATACTCTTGAAATGCAAAAGGATACAAAATGCTTTGGATTTATGTTTAGACCAAATTCAAAATGGGGTTCCACCTTTGCTGGCTGCCAAGGTTTGCAATTCCTTGTTCTTCTAAACCGTTTGTTAAGTTTTCGGCAGGACTGCAATATGTGAAATGTTATTTGACGCTACTGGTTCAAGTTCTTGATGATAGCATGTATGAGAGCTTGAACCTTTTCTGCTAGACTTTTTCATGTTTATGACAGTCACTTCTTCTTCCTCCTGCTATGGATTATCCTTCATTGTTCTATTTCCATAGTTATAATAGGGAGTAATCATTGTTGTATGAATTATTCCTGTTTTTTTGCCTTCATGGAAAGCTGTCAAATTGTCCTGCATTTCTATATAAAAGTAGAACAAATTTCTTCTAGTAAAAAATCAAAATTGGATGTTTAAAGAACTTGCTGTTAAGCTCGGTTGAGATACAGCAGCCGTCCACTTTTTAATGATGCATGCAAAGAATTTATTTGAAGTGATTGGGGACCGATAACCAATCAATCATCCATCCAAGATGTTTTCAGAGTTTTACTCGGTGACTTGATAAATGTTCCTAATATTACTTTCCAGGCCAAGCAAATCGGTGAAAGCTTCATCAAACAATTACTAGACTCATGTAAATTAAATATTTCAATCCACATAGAATCCTCTATGATCTCATCTGCAAGATTTAAGCAACCTGTCTCTTTCTGTGGGCATGGATCTTTGAATGTGAGGAAAAGCATAATGTAAGTGGGAATGATTTAGATGGGATATAAAGTGGAAATGTGCACCCCACAGCTTGTTTATATAATCTGATTGTCTCTGCCTACTATGCTGAGTGTTTTCCATCATCATTTTAGTTCCCTGCTGGCTGGCCATTCTTCTGGTTTTTGGTTGGAAATTTTGTGTTCCTCGTTTTTTGCTTTTTATCTCTTCTTTAATTTGAGAATAAAATGTTGTCTACAGATATCTGGAATTATTGAAGACCTCAGGAGTGCAAAATTTCACCTAGAATCTTCTGAGGAAGAGGCTGGGAAGGTTGTGCTAGCGCTGATTAGGCGGGGCATACCATCATCAGACTGTATTGAAAATTCAGAACTTGAGGCTCTTCGACTTGCGGCTTCGAGTCTGAAAATTACATCCCGGTTGGCACTTCTGGCAGAGAAAAGGTCCATTAAGAGACTGCTTGATAAAGTTCATCAAACTGGCCTGACAAAGGAGACGATTTTGAAGTGTCTCCTGAGTCTTTTGAGGAAGTACGGAGAATTAATTCAGCAAGATCAAACCAAGGACAACCTTTCTATGCACAAAGAGAAAAAATGCCAGTCCACTTATCCAGAAGCTTTTGTAGATTGGCACGAGACACAAACACAAGCTGATGGCAAACCAAAACCTCCCATTGAATTTGAATGCCCCATCTCTACGAGACTCATGTATGATCCTGTAATTATTGCATCTGGGAAAACATACGAACGAGTTTGGATTGAGAAATGGTTTAGTGAGGGTCATGAGACGTGCCCAATGACTAATATTAGGCTGGAGAATCTGTCCCTGACTCCAAACGTTGCAATGAAGGGCCTCATTTCAAAATGGTGTTCCCAGCATGAAATCATTGTTTCTGATCCACGTCAGCGGTCAAAGTTTTCTCCAGTTTCCTCACTGAAATGCACATCCCCCGAATCTGTTGCTAGCTTTGGCAGCTCCATGAATGGCTTGTGCCTTCAAGTTAGCAACGTCTCGCTTCAATCTTCGTGTACAAACTGTGGTTCGCCTTTAATTGATGATGATGGTAATATTCATTCAAGTGCTAGGCTCCCTCGAATGAAAGAAGAAATTTGCACACGCCACTCGTCCACAAATGGTTGTAGTATTGGCTTGGCCTCTCTTACCAAGCTAGCTTCACTTCCCTGGAAATCCCAATGCAAGACAGTGCAAGATGTCAAAAAGGAACTGAATAAAAATAACCAAGCATGTGATTGCATGTTTTCTGACACTTCCATGAAATCGCTGATAAAATTCTTGAAGGTTGCACATGACTTGTGTGACGTAAGAGCCCAGAAAGATTCAGTTGATGTGATTTTGGCAATTTTGAGCGAAGACAGGTAAATATTTCTCCTTGGGTTGACATGCCTGGTTATTTTTCTGAATTTCCTTATTCTTCTTTACACGCAAATGTGACAATCTTCTTTCTCTTTTAAATCATCCAACTTTGGAATAATTTTTGAAAGGGTCGACTGAACCTTGTGACTCAGCATTTTAAAGCATTTATTTCCACCACCAAGTCTTCTGCTGCTGCTCTTGGATTGTTGTTAAGGAATCACGAACTTTTTATTCATCTTGATAGTGTGTTGTTCGCAATAATATTCACTATTTGCCAAGGTTTTACTTGTTTTTCAACTTTTCGGCCTTTTTCTGCAGAGTTGAAATGCCTGCTTTTGATGGAGATTCAATATATGTGGTAGCATCGCTTCTTGATTCTAAAATCAATGAAAAAGCTCTTGCAATCCTGGAATTGCTGTCTCACCATCAGTTTTACAAGTCTGCAGTCATAGCATCTGGAGTTCTACCTTCAATCCTGAAAATCCTTGATTCTCAGAATACGGAATCCCTTGAGCTTACTATAAAGATACTTCGTAATGTGTCCTATGACGGTGACATAACATACCATATTGTCTATTTGGATTTCATCCCAAGCTTGGTTCCTTTTCTATGCGACTACAACCTTTCAGGGTATTGCCTTACTGTTCTGAAGAACTTATGCCGGATCGAGGAGGGTAGGATTGCAATCGTTGAAACCGATTCATGTATCACTTCAATGGCCCAACTTCTTGAAACTGGTAGTGAGCTGGAACAAGAAACCACAATGGAAGTTCTTTCCCTATGTTATGAGGAGCTTGATTGTTATCAACTGATCAAGGGAGGAAGCATCATCCAATCATTGTTCAGTATATCTGTCCATGGGACATCAAGAGGAAAAGCCATTGCCATGGAATTGCTCCAGCTCTTGGGGCATACTACAGAAGGTGTTAGTTTTGACTTGACCATGGACATCTCAAGTGGCTCCAGCAATCACAATAAAGGAGAAAAATCTTCTTCCATATTTGGATATCTGGGAAGGAAAATCTCAGGATTCTTACATTAAAATCAGTTGTTATTTTTTAAAAAACTTTTTATATTCTTGTGACATATCAATCCTTGTTCCTTTAGTTAGGGTTTCAACTCCGTTTTCTTTTGTTAGGGATTGACGTTTCAATCCTCAAGACAGCCTTACACATTAATATCAGGAATTGTTAGATGGTCACAATCAGTGAAGTTCTCTTCTACTACAATGGTCATGGTATAAGATTTAATCTTAATTAATATTTAATTGATCAAAATATATTCCTTAAGCGTAGATTTAAAAAAGAAGAAAAGATTGATATAAATAGCTTATTTTAACTATAATTATAAAATCTGATGACCACTTGGAGCAAGCCTCAACTTACAAATTGAGAGTGGAATCCTGATTTTTTTTATAAAAAAAATTATAATAATATTATTTTAATAAAAAAATAATTAATGGATTAAAAGTCGGGTTGTGACCTAATCAATTGAATCTTGAATTTTTATTGGGTTAGTTAAATTTATTATTTCTTTTATTTTTTTCAACCTAAATTCAAATTTAAGTTAACCTGATATTAAAGATATTAAATTGATATATTGACTTTGTTTGGATTTTATAACTATAACTTTTAACATGGTAAAATGTGTAAAAAATAATATGAAAAGGGAAGAATGTCACCTTACATGTAGAAAAAATAAAATAAAAATTGCAACAAATTAGATAAATTTAAAGTCATGGGAAACATGATTAAATATTTTGTCTGAGAATTTCTTGTGACCAAATGTGAGTTCTCGCATTAGTCTTTGAGTTTATGTTTTCATATGACAGCTAAAATACTAAAGAATTAATTATTCTTTAATCTTCCTCTAATACATTTTCTTCCGATTCTTTGAAGAGAGCCCAGAGATCATTAGCCTTCCAGGTTATGGGCTAGTTCACTGTTCTAACTTGAACTATCTTTCTTAGACCTGTCCAGTTTCTAGTGGGCTTTCCTTCAGGTGTTTGGCCTCTCGTTATCAAAATTAAACCATTAAAAAAAATTGAAAGGGTTTTGCCTTCTCTAACTTCACTACCACAAAGGAGTACACAGCAGCCCTCTGGTCCTGGTTGCCCAGCGGGAATCCAGCCGTCCTCATTCTTTTCCATTGAGGTAATGAACTCATCTTTTTCTCTGCTTCAATTGTTTCTTTCAGGGTTCTGAAAGATTGTGTCTCACTGTGTTTGACTGTCATTTCCATGTGGGTTTTGCCTGTTTCGTACATTTGAAGTCTCTCTAGCCAGCTTGACATCTCTACTTTGTTTTCGTGGCAATTTTGCATCTGGGTTTTTGAGTTCTCTATTCATATACATATCTGAACCATGAATTTGAAGCGCTTAGTTAATAGGCAAGTAGTTAACAACTTATCGAGATTCAATGGAAGAGTGCGGACTCGAAGAGATTTCTCTACCATCACAGTCTCAATCCATTCCTCAAACAACAGCTGTGATGGAGTGGTTCCTTATAATTGTAGTAACTCGACACCCATTTTGTTCTTTAATAGATACGTGCACACTATTGGAGAAACAAAGTTGATTGGGTCGAGCTTTAATCCGAAACACAGTGCTAATGATTCCGAGGGGGAGGATGAAACCATGAATGAGTTCTTGTCACGATTTGTGTGGATAATGCGTGGGAAGCTAACTGAAGTGTATAAGGATTGTGATAAAGAGACGATTAATGGTATGCTTTTGGTTATTGTTGGAGAAGTAGTTTCAGAAATGGAAAAGGGTGGTCTTGAACAAATGCTTGATGTTTCGGTGGCTACGCTGTCACAGGGTTTCAGTAGGGATTTGTGGAAGACAGTGTGGGAAGTGAGCAATGCAGTGTTGGCAGATATGGAAAAGGAAAGGAAAAAGGAGAAAATGAAGGGTTTTTTGCAGTGTGAGGAGGTGCAGGAATTGTGTAGGTTTGCTGCTGAAATTGGAATCCGAGGGGACATGATGAGGGAGTTTAGGTTCAAATGGGCGCGTGAGAAGATGGAAGAGAGTGACTTTTATGAGGGTTTGAAGCGTCTCAGAGAAGAAGTGAGAGCCCAGGAGAAAGCAGAAGAAGAGGGAAAGAATGCTGTGGCTATGGGTGAAGAGGCTGCAATCATGGATGAGGAGAAACCTAAGACCGTTACTCTTCCTATGAGACATGGGAAGATAAATTACAAGATTTATGGACTTGATCTTTCCAATCCTAAGTGGGCTAAAGTTGCTGATAGAATCCATGAGTCTGAAAAGCTTGATTGGCCTGAGGAACCGAAGCCAATATCTGGGAAATGCAAAATTGTTACTGAGAAAATCCTTGCATTGAAAGAGGAGGATGACCCTTCTCCACTGTTAGCTCAATGGGCAGAGCTTCAAAAGCCTAGCAGGATTGATTGGTTCACTTTGTTGGATAAGTTGAAAGAACAGAATACTCGTTTATACCCTAAGGTACAATGCTCATTAGTTTTCTTTCTCTTACATTTGTTAGTTATATAATTAGTTCTTTTACTTTATGGTGTGTGATTACAGCGATTAGTTATTGATTTATCTTTTCTATGTTTAACATGGTCAAGATTTGAAATGTGTAGAATAAATGGCATAGCATAATTTACTCAACTCATTATCTTGAAGTGGTTGCTATTGATTGAATTTTATTGCAGGTAGAAGAAGTTTTGTTGAGTGAAAAATCCTTCCAAGCTAACATCCGCGACTACAGCAAGATTATTGATGCCCATGCTAAACAGAACCGCATAGAAGATGCTGAAAGAATTGTTGAGAAGATGAATGAAAATGGTATTCAACCAGATGCTTTGACTACTAATATTTTGGTACACATGTACAGCAAGGCAGGAAATCTTGACCGTGCTAGAGAAGCATTGGAAAGCTTGAGGAGACTTGGTTTCCGACCAGACAGAGAGATCTACAATTCGATGATCATGGCATACGTAAATGCTGGTCAACCTAAGTTGGCTGAATTATTGATGAGAGAGATGGAGGCAAGAGACATCAAGCCTACAATGGAGATTTACATGACTTTGCTTCGGTCGTTTTCACAACATGGAGATGTTGGTGGAGCTGGACGAATTGCAACCACAATGCAGTTTGCAGGATTCCAGCCGAATTTGGAGTCTTGTACATTGCTTGTTGAGACATTCGGGCAAGTTGGTGATCCTGATCAGGCAAGGAACAACTTTGACTATTTGATGAGGCTTGGACACAAGCCTGATGACAGGTGCACTGCAGGCATGATTGCAGCTTATGAGAAAAAGAATATGTTGGATAAGGCTCTCAAACTTTTGTTAGAGCTCGAGAAGGATGGCTTTGAGCCCGGACTTGCTACTGACACTGTCCTTGTCGATTGGTTGGGGAAATTGCAGCTGGTTGATGAGGTTGAGCAACTATTGGGTAGGATTGCTGAGCAGGGCGAGGCTCCTCCTCTCAAGATTCAAGTTAGCCTTTGCGATATGTATGCAAGGGCTGGGGTCGAGAGGAAGGCTCTTCAGGCTTTGGGGGTTGTGGAAGCCAAGAAGGAGCAATTGGGGTTGCATGATTTTGAAAGGGTTGTAGGCGGGCTTATTGCTGGTGGGTTTGTGCAGGAGGCTCAAAGGGTACATGGGTTGATGGAGGCCCAGGGCTTTGCTTCAGAACATCTAAAGGTTGCGCTAACGGCATCTCAAGCTTTTTCCCGCAAGAGACCATCGAAATAGTTTGCCGTCACGATTCTCGAGGTTATGGCGCACTAGTGATAATTGAGATGCTGTTTTGGTAGTTCATATAGGAAAATCAAACGCTACTTGACAAGCAGGATGTAGCATCGTTTCAGTCATACTCTCAGTTTTGCTTTTATTCGTGTGCCCATGTTGGTGTAATTCAGGAAACTGTTTTAATCATGATGGAGGCCCTTTTTAATAATCAATGGAAAGGAGAAGGTTGCTTCGTTCTGTATTAGTTAAATGTGTTGTTTTACATGAGCTATCACAATTCCCTGTCCGATGACTGGATTACCTTTCGCTCTTCTGCGCATCGTTAAGCACATATTTGTAGATTATGTTTTTCTTTGATTAAAGTTGTGAATTGAGATTGTGCTTTCTGGGGTTGGCACACCAATCACACACTTCCATATGGATTTGGACGATCTCTGCCTGTTTGAGAAAAATGGCCAGTTTCTGGAGCCAAGTTTTTTCTCTTTTGTGGAATTTAAAGAAAAACCTTGATCCAAATAGATTCTGAAGACATTATCCTTACAAGCAGGAAGCTTTCATACATTGATATTGTTAGATTCTAATAGTATTCTCCTTTAATGAACTCATTCAGCCGCTTCAATTCTCCACCTTGCTGTTCTACCACAGCTCGAACCACATCTACAATGGAAACCATCCCAACTATCTTTCCATCTATGACCGGAACATGCCGAATATGATGATCTGAAATCGAGATATAAATTTCCCTTTATCACGGCATCATCAAATTCAGTAACGACTCGACTCTATATCCCATGTAATTGGAAAACATGAATTCTAGGTATCATAAATACCTGTCATCAGCTGCATTGCTTGTAGCATGCTGGTGTCAGATGTCACTGATACTAATTTGTTCTGTCAAGCGTTGAAATTGAAACATGTTTAGAAAGGAGAATGGTTACTCTATAACCCCAACACAAAATTAGTGCAAGAAATAACCTCATCAGTCATAATTTCCCCAACTCTTGTGTATTTAGATGATCTCCCTTGTGCTATTATCTTCTTCATATAGTCTGCTCAGGCATCCGTTCCACCTCCATTAACAACGATTAGAATAATCTACTTCATCATATTACGTAGTTTAAGGAAAAATATTCTCAAGTTTCTATGTTGTTCTGAAAATCTTGGCATTCCAACTCTTAGCTACAGCATCAAAGTCAATTCAAAGTTTTTTTTTCTGGTAAATTAGAGCTAATTACTCCATTAATGCATTTCTATTTCAATTCTGTTGCATTCATGCCTAAAATTACACCAAGGATAGAGGATGAATGCTTAACTAACAATGTAAAGTAGGGTTATTTAGAAATCAGATACCTCTCTCTGTGATAATTCCTGCAATAAGTTCTTGTTCTCCTGGCTTTAGGACCACCAATGACCCAATATTATTCTTTGCCATCTGCAAATTTCTAGATTTTAGTAGTGATGTTTGTGTACTATATAAAGAAACTTGACTCTTCAGGCAACACTTTCAGCTTTATTTCATTAACCTACATTCTCCACAGCATCATAGACAGAATCGGTGGTGCGGCACCAGAGCCAGGAGCCAATTTTGTCTTCTCCCTTTGTCATCAGTGCATCTGCCACTGTTAGATTCTCTAGTCCTTTCTCTCGCACTGGAAGAGAGGATGTAACGCGTCCAAAACGTGAAAATATGTTTCTTCTATCACGGGGATGCTTTAGAATTGCAACTCTGAGGGTTTCCTGGCAAGATCTTATTCCTCGGACAAGTCCTTCCATTTCAACAGATCTTGTTGGAAAATGAAAGTTAAAAACGAATACCGTCTATTGCAAGAACGTGGCTGGAAAAATTTGTGATTGCCTAATGAAGGTTCGTGATAAAGTTTGTGTAAACTAAATTAAGTGACAATTAACATACCTAAGAGAAGATTGGAGAGCTTGAAACAATTATACGATCTTCTGACGGCGAAGTCATGGGATGGATTCAACCCATAAATAGTATCTTGCAAGGAGAAGACACAAGTATATCTTGCGAAGAGTTCTTTTCTTGAATGGTAGGGTGATTGAATTAAGAAAGAAAAATTCTAAGGGTTTTTTCCTTGTTTTGTAGGTTGCTTCTCTGGCGGGCATGGTACCATGGTAGCATTGAAAGCTGGCAACCAAACCAAGAGGTTGCATGCATTGCTTAAACCTTTTTACCATGCTGACATGCATGATTGACTAAGCAAATAGTCATCGCTGCAGTATTGATATCTTATCAAAGAGTGAAGGAATTTCTTTTTTTAAAAAACAATAAACTAAATTAGAATTAGAATTGATCACTGGTGATCTATGGTCGAGATAACACATGCATCATGTGGATGGAGAGTCGTGCTCTATAAACTGAGATTCGGCGAAGTATATACTTGGATGGCTTTAGGAGAAAAGAAACAACCACCCTGGTTTCCTATCACAGGAGACGACATAGTTAGAAGCTTAAAGTTGAACAAGATAGAAATGCAAAATCTAAAGACGAACAAATTGAGATGCTAGACCTGAGAAAGAAGGAAAATCTGTCTAAGCAATCCCGAATTTCTCCTGCATAAAGGCTAGCTTTAGAGAGGAAAAGAGGCAAAAGGAGAGAGTGAATTTGAAGACGACAACAGAAAGGTCTCGAAAACTTTCCAAGGTATCAAATAGAAACTTATTAATACCACATTTCTCAACAAGAATTCAGCATCAACGCAACCAACCTACATCTACAACCTTTGTTATACTTTACATTTTCTTAAATCAAATCTATGGCAGACCAGAGGCCATTCCGCTTTCGGCTCCCTTGGTTGTCAGCACCTGTCGCTCCTGCTCCACGTCCTACAGCTGAACCCCAACCTCCTCGTCCTACAGTTCAAATTCAAGCCCCAGCCCGGCCAATCACCACAATCCCCATTCAGCGGCCACCTTTTCGACCAGCAGGGATAGCCCCAGCATCAACTCCTACCTCTCAGATTACAGCACAAGTACGAACTGAACCTCAGCCACCACCTCGCGTGGCTGCTGAATCCCAAGCCACTTCTCAACTATCATCACCATCTCGTGCAACAATCCCAACGCGGGCTGGTTCAAAGCCAACATCACCATCTCAAGAAACACGGGCTGCCTCTGTGCCACCATCACCATCTCGTGCAACTCCACAGTCAAGAGCTGCATCAGTGCCCCCATCAGCCTCTCGTGCAACAACCCAAACCCAAGCTGCCTCCCAAACCCAGTCACCATCTCGTGCAACTCCTCAATCAAGAGCTGCATCTGTGCCACCTTCTCCTTCTCGCACCACTTCCCAGCCCCGGACAGCAGCACTGGCAGTCCAACAACCTGAATCTCCATCTCGTTTGGCCTCTCGAGTTCCAGGTAAAACATCCTCACAGCCCTCTTCTCCTTCTAAGATAGCTACCCAAGTGCAGCCAACAGGTTCCCGGTCCCCATCAAAGAAATTGCAGCTAGCAACACAAGAGACCTCTCAGCCTCCACCCACATCTACTCAATCAATCACTCAACAACAAGAAACAAAGCCAGCAATATCTTTTCCCTTGTCACAAGTGCCTCTAGAAAAGACAGAAATCAGAGCAGAGAATGTCTCTCTACGACAACAACAAGAAGAGCCTGTACAAGCATCAGGTGCCGTGAGAGCAGCAACAGCAACACCAGCTTCTGTGGCAGCACTTGAGATACCTGCAGCATCGCAAAAATCAGATTCTAACGCCATAGGTCCTGTTCATCCTATGACTCTTTCAGAACAGCTGAAAAACGTAAAGGAAGACATTTTTCAAAGGAAAAGGACTACTGTTAGCTCAAATGGGGAAACTGCGAAATCTGCAAGAGCCCGGTATGCATTGGGCGAATATCATCAAAAACCATCCATGTCCAATGGAGAAAAGGTTCCCCTGCACAAAGAAATCAGGGAAGACATTTTCAAGTTTGTTCACAAGCTGGGAATGGAGCACATAAAGCATCCCAAAGGTGAAAAGCCTGTCAGCATTGTAACTCTAGCAGGTGAAAACAGAGGAGCTTCAATGTACGAGGGCTCTGAACCAACAAGAAGGGATGGATCGATCCACATCCATCATGGTTATAAGATCAATCCAGATGAGAGCAGCGAAAATCCTACTGACGGAGAAGGAAGCTCGAAGGGTGGAAAGTCCAAAGATCTGCTGACAACAGAAGATCCAGCAATGAAAGCATATATCAACAGTAATACACAAAGTGTGAATAACTCGATTTTGTTTGAAAGTTCACTAAACGAAAGAAGTCCTGGTGTACAGCTGCATCTCTCTCATAACGATGAAGAACCCAGTGAGTACAGTGCTAAACCAGGTCCTCTCGAGACACACAAGGCTGAATTCAAAGTCACCCCTGCTGAGATGCTTGCTTATGAACCGACAGTAAAATGACGATGCCTATGAGGGCTGTTATTGGAATCAAGCGATTCAGACCCTGATAATCCAGAAAAGCCTTGAAGACATGGCTGTCCCTAGAATCGTGTGCAGTCGAGCAAAGATAAGGATATAAGGGTTCTTTAACCTGGTAAATGATGAGTTGGTACTATAATCTACCACGAAAAACATACAGTTTGTGCACATGACAATAAAAATATTTTACAGAAGTAATAATAAGGATGCAATATCATCCATAAAGTCATGTTTATGTATAATACTTTTGCATCATATGATAATGAAATGTTTTGTTCACTGTACTTCGCAACTTAGCACCAAGATTCAGTGCACAAAGTTTCTAATATACAGAGAACAAGAATTTATAGGTTTTATGAAATTAAAATTCCTTAAGAAGTTACATACTTGGGGTAGCTGTTGCAGAACTACCTTTCTGCAAAAAAACAAATGTTGCTACATAGACCATGCAGTCCACTGCTGTTTACATAAAATTAATGCTGATAACAAAGTGCAAATCCTAAGGAGCTTCCTTTAGAGAGAATAAATACAACAAAGTTAGTTCGTGTACTCTCATGGCTTCTAGAGGCTTATATGTTCGTTAATTTTAGAGCTCGTGGAATTAGTCGAGTCTTACATGTTCATTAATTTTAGAGCTTGTGGAATTAGTCGAGTTGCGCGCAAACAGGTCCGAATACCCACGTTAATAAAAAATAAATACAACAAAGCTTTCAGGGAAGAATAACGTGAATATAGCCCAAGATGGAAAAAGAAAATGATCATTCACATGCTGGTTTAGTGTCAAAGCTACTCAAGCAGATTGCAAAAGCTTGGAAGGCAGAGAGGGGGTATCGATAATCCATGGTGAAGATATCTTTCCCGATCTTTCCAAACTGAAGAATAACTTTTTCTTGTTCTTCTACAGGAACATTTTGACAAGGCTCCACAGCTGCCACCAGCTGGAAATTCTTCACAGAGGCCACTGTAACACGCCCTTTAAAATTTAGACACCAACACTGAAGCTGCTCGTGCCATCTAGGAGCTTTATTTTTCAAAACCAGGGGATCCATTTTGCTGCAAATTGAGTCGGATGACTCAGCACGGCTAGTGGAGATGAAATCGATAAGTGGTTGCTTTACTTTTGAGGCAGACAATGAAGGAGATTGCTCATCACCAGGATTATTGAAATCCAATGGAGTAGGGGCTACTCCCCCTTCTTGAATTGCAGAAATAGGGATTGAGTGCACGATGCAATGCATTCTCCTTGGACCCCGCGTCCGTAGGACATTAAGCTCATAAGATACAGTGGCCACATTAAAGTTTCTAGCAGGTACCCCTGGAGACACTTGGATGGAACGGACTTTCTGCTGAAGCTTGCAATTGGACTTCAGTCCAGGACATGGAGGCTGACTGTCATAAATGGCGAATTTGGTTCCCAGGAAATTAGACCTGTTCAGGATTTCCCAATCAATTCCACAAAACAAGAATGTGGCAATAGAAAGATTAGAAATCCAAAATGATAAACCATACCTCAGCTTTCCAGCATAGGTATTGCTGGTTTGACAGAAATCACTTCCAACAAACGATATCCGAAAATCTGTGCTTGTAGCCCTTCTAATCTTCTTTGCTGCTAATAATAATTTATTCATATCACCTGACAAAGCTGTAATTTATTAAGTAACATTAATTTAGCAGTAGAGAACACACACACACACACACACACTAAACTAAAATTAAAAACACAACACCACCACTGGAAAATTTTAAATTTTTTTCTCATGGCAGACTGCTTAGGGAGTCAAAAAATGGATCCTCTAACCAATCTTTTCATTTCAAAATTCATAAATAAAATCCATCAAAACTAACACAATACATCATAGAATATTTACCAGGACTGAGACCAAGATACAAATGATAAGTAGAAGTAGCCCTTTCCCTCCTAATAAAGCATTGAATTGGAGCATCTCTCGGCCCCGGCTAGTCAAAAAACAAAAAAGAACCCCCAAAATAATATCAGCACCTAACCATTCACAGAAATACAAAACAAGAGGAGAAAAAAATCCCTTTTTTTAGTCACCGACTCACCTGCTTTAGCGAGATAGGGAAAGTAATGCAACCACACTGTTCTGGGGTCTTAACAACAGCTTTAGTAATCTCTCTCCAAGACGTACAAACTGAAGCGCAAGCAACAACATCTCTTCTTCCAGGCCATGAAGTTTCACTACCCTCAACTCTCTTAATCACATCTTGTAGCAACTCTGGGGGCAAATTAGCCCATGGACTCTGTTCTTCAATCAACTCGCTTAATAGCTCAGACCCACCTCCTAATTCAGGTGCAATATAAGCTCTCCCTCTTCGATTTGTTCTGTTCCTCTGTAACTTTCCCATCGAAAATGTAGTAGTGATATCATCTCTAATCTCCTTTAACTTGCTCTTAAATGACATCTCGATCACAATCAAGATCGGAGTGAGGAGTTCGATTCGGAATTAAAAGAAAGTAAGCAGCCAGATTCTTGCATGTGATTACAAACAGTGAGACAAAATCATCGGAACCGACGAAATTCTGAGAATTGGGGATCGAGACGAGGAATAATCTAAGGTGAGTATACCGATGTCTTGGACAGAACAAAAGCCGTGCCTTCTTTATTTTTATCTT